AAGGATATGACAGACAGGAAAAACAAAAATCAGGGGCCCCATTCCTGATGGTCGGAACAAGCTGATCTGACAATCTGCACCAGTCCTGCACAAGACATCAGGAACCCTGGAAAAGCCCACAGATTAAAACAAAAATCAGGAAGCAGCAAACGAAAACACCTCTTCACTCGCTTCAGGCAAACCAAAGCCAATCCAAGAGATCTCTCAGATCCTAGTGATTTCCACAGACAGCTGTCTAAAAAAAAGGGCATTTACATAGCACCTTTTATGGCCAGACATCTCAAAGTGCCATATCACCAAAGAACTTGTTGAAATGTTGCCACTGTTGTAATGAGAGCAGCTAATTTGTGCACAGGAAGATTCCACATGTGGAAATATGGTAATGATCTGATAACACCTCTGCACCAGTCAGAGACTGGCTCTCTGCCTTCCAGAGGAATGCATACTGGCTGCAACACGCTCCACAGGCTACGGTAGTCACTACTAGAGAGTGGAGGAGTTGCCTGTTCACCATACAGTACTTTCTCACCCAAGTTCCTTCACGATTGAGCCAAAATATTCCAGCACCCATGACACATCCCAGCCCCTCCTATGAGGCCACCTTCAAATCCAGGCTGTACTTTGGGAAATAGAAAATGCTCCTCTTGCCCGAGTCACTAAGATTTATCAAGGTGAGAATCATGATGTGCACTCCCCTCTGTCCTTTTTCAAGGTACCAGCACCATATTGAAAACATGTTGCATTTAAAAAGCACGTTTAATGTAGCTAGAACATCCCAAGGCACCACGTAGCATCAGAATAAAAAGAAGACAAGGAGGAGCTAGGGATTTCAAAATAAAGGAATTTTCAAAACAAGGTGATTCCACTTGAAGCAAATAAACGGGTCAACAAGCACAGGGGAGGGCTTGCCGTGAGTTAGAAAACAGGGGTCAAAGTTTTGGAGAATATCAAGTTTATAGAGGTGGATGGAGGGACAGGAGATGCTTTGTGCATGAGCAATGGAAATAAAGGGAATGGAGCATGGAGTGAGGGAGGAGACAGAGGGATGGACAGGAGTATAAGTTTGCACCAGAACATTGCTAAAAAACAAAGAGTACGCAGTACACCCATCTTCACTCCCTCAAACATACAGTGGCACCAAGAGAAGATAGGACCTCAGTTTTCAGCACCACTTCACAGACTCTCAGGATCATGCTCAATTTAAGATTAGGTTACCGTAAGAGTTTGGGCTGCAGCAGCCTCTGCATTGCATCACTTGCGATCGAGAGCCGGAGCTTTTCCTTTTCTTTCTGTTTCCCTGTGAAAAAAGGAAAATATTGAGACACTCTTGTGACAGATCATTGGGTCCTTTGAAACATAGTTGGAACCCTTCTCACACCCACTTCAGCAGTCACTGGGAGGCACAATGTGCTGCACTGACAGGATATTGGATTCCAAAGTTTTAGCAAAGATCTGTAGCTTGGGTTGTGGGTGAGGTGGTTGACTTGCTGTTGTTCAGATGTTCCATCACCATGCTAGGTAACATCATCAGTGAGGCCGCCGATGAAGCGATGTTGTTCTACTCCACTTGGAATTTATACCGTCTGGTCCGTTATGGTGAGTAGTGTCATTCCTGGTTTTGAATATGGGGTCCAATTCTATATGTTTGTTGACTTGCATTACAGGTTGAGAACCATGCCTCTAGGAATTCCCGTGCGTGTCTGTTTGGCTTGGGCTACTATGGTTACGTTGTCCCAGTTTAACTATAGTAGCCCAAGCCAAACATAGACACGCACAGGAATTCCTAGAGGCACGGTTCTCAACCCGTAATGCAATCAACAAACATAGAATTGGACTCCATTTACAAACCCATACAGAGCAAAACCAGAAATGATACTACTCACCATAACAGACCGGACGGTATAAATTCCAAGTAGAATACAACAACATCACTTCATCGGAGGCTTCACTGATGATGTTACTTACCATGGTGATCTGAACGAAAACAAGCCAGCTCAGCGAGCAAGTCAACAACCTCAGATTGGACTCCAATCCGCCTCCCATTCCCAGGGAGCCAGACACAAACATTATCCATGCCTGCAGCTTTCCTTTTCCGATCCATGACAGACAGACTCAAGAAGAAATGCTCCCCAACTCCCGTCCTCAACTGACAACTTGTTAAAACAAAACTCTGGAAGCATCACAAGTGAATGTGAAATTGCCAGTCTGTTACGCCACCCAACAAAAGAGCCTGCCCATGATTTTGCCTCAGTTTGAGTTGGTGAGTGGGATAGTTTTAAGTTAATTTCTTCAGATGTCTGTTTTCAATTTAATTTAGCAATTAAGTAACTTTTGGTTGAGGAGTTACGTTTTACTCCAGCCTTAAAATAGAAGCTCTGGACAGGCCCAGCTAGTCAATGATCTGGTTAAAACCAGTTTTCAGAACCAAAAAAAAGGCTGTATAAGTTTCTATAGGCACAAAGAGAAAACATTTGGCTAAGGTAAATGGGGGCCCATTACGGAACAGAGTCAGGAAAATTGATAATGGGGATACAGAAATGGAAGACATGTAATTTATGCCTGTCTTCACTGAGGAAGATGCAGGGCATCTTTCAGAATTAGAGATGCCAGGGATTAGGGAGAATGAGGAATTGAAGAAAACATTGCTAAAAAGGTTGTGCTGAAGGAATCAACAGGAGTGATGGTTAAAAGCCCAGAGTGGCAGACCAGGCTCGAAGGACAGAGGCTTACTCCTGTTCTCATTTCTTATGGTTCTACAGAAGCTCAGTCATCAAGTATGCTGAAAGTGGAGATTAACAGATTTCTAAATACCAGTGACAGAGTTACAGTAACAGTGTGGGGAAAAAGGCTTTTAAGTGGATGATAAGCCATGAACATACCGAATGGTGCAGCAGGCTCCATGGACCAGCTGGTCTACTCCTGCTCCTGTCTTCCTACGTTTCTACTGCGAAAGAAGTTATTCTGCACTTCTAACATTATAACATGGCTCAAGGAGTTTCACAGGATATCAGCAAACAAAGCATGACACTGAGCCCCACACACAATACACATTAAGACAGGTGACCAAGCTTTCCATCAGAGAGAAACTCAGGATCTTACAGGGATGCTGTAGGGGTGGGCAGGTGGGAAGGGAGGTATAAGAGACTTCACACACATTCTTAGGAAAGGATTCTACAGCTGAGGACTGAAATGGCTTTCACTTTCCATCACTCCACCAGCAGGCAATACTCCCTCAAAAGGCAGTGTGTGCAGAATCATTTAACATTAAGGTAGAGGTAGATGGATTCTGGATTACCAAGGGGATGAAAGATTCGGTTGAATGGCCTACTTTTGTACCTTGTTTGTACATAATACTTACAACTCGTTAGTAAAAATTCATCAAAGGATTTGATGCCCTGTGTAGCCTTTTCCTTAGTGTCCTGGTTTGCTGGTGGACCCTAATCACAAAGAAAGAGTGAGAGTGTAAGCAGAAATTTTAAACATTGACTTAAAGAAGACCAGGTGTAATTTGCCATTTGATGGGAATGAAGCAGGACCATGCAACATTAAACTTCAAACATCACCCAGAGTTCTGATAACAACTGTTTGATGTCCATGTCAGAGAACACTGAGTCAAACAGGTGTCATGAGACTAATGTCAAATAGTCCTGATGGGATCAGGTTCTAGGTAGCAGTTTCTCTTCTCTGATGTTAAAGGTCAAATAATTAAGTTTTAAGAACACAAGGAAATGCATGTAGGCCATTTAGTCGCTCAAATTTACTCCAAAATGTAATTAGATCGCTGCTGATCTTCTACATCACTTACACCTTCCTGATCTATCCTCCTACAGGCAGGACTTTCAGTTTGCACATTCCAACAATCTACCAAATCAGTGGAAGGGCTGCTTCACTCTTTCTTAAAAGGAAGTTAAAATTATTAAACTTTGGATGTCAGATGCTAGGGAATCGGCACATGTTCTCTTCACACCAGGTGGGAGAGACAACAGATCTGTTATTATCCAATAAACAGCTGACACAGGTAAAACCTTTACAGGATAAATTGTCAAACTCAAAAATACTCACAAGGCTAGTGACTTTATCCTTGAAATATGGTTTCAGGAAGTGCCCCAGGTACAAAGTGGGAGATGGGTTCTTTGTTGACTTTGTTTTCTCCAACCCATGTCTAGCCAGGTCAGACATGATTTCAGACTGCAGGAGAGAAGAAGATGCCTTGTGGTCACTATCAGAGCAGAGGCATCACCTGAACAGTCACCAAACCTCAAAGAATTTAAAAAGTATGCAAGGATAGGCCCAGCAACATCAGGCCAAGCAATTTAACCTTAGTGGTAGAAAAAGTTTTTCAAAACAATAACCCAAGACAAAATTAACACTCACTTAGATAAACACGGATTAATTCAGGAAAGCCATCATGGCTTTAAGAGCAAATTGCGTTTAACTGATTTCTGAAGAAGTGACTAAGGGTGATGTGGTTATGTGACGTACATGGACTTCCAAAAAAAGGAATCTGCCAAAGTGCCCCACAGCATTTATTGCAAGAAGTGATTTATTTAGGTAGGAAGAATGAGGAGAGGCAACTTAAAGAATACAATTCTGAAGGGATGTAGAAACAGAGAGGGGCCTGGGTGATCCACGTGAAAGTGGCAGGACAGCTTCAGAAAGTGATTCACAGGACATTCGGGATCCCAGATCTTATATGTATAGTAATAAAGCACAAAATCAAGGAAATTACAGCTAGTATTTATAAATCACTGCTTCAGTCCCAATGAGAAACGTATTCTAATTCTGGACGTTAAACGTTAGGAAGCACGTAAAGGCTTTAGAAATGGTGTGGAAAAGGAGTGGTTCTAGAGACCTCAGATATGTCGATAGATTGGACAAGTTGGGACTGCTCTCCTTAAAGAAATGGAGGTAGAGAGGTGATCTGACAGATGGTGATAATGGGGGATTGGGACAGTGTTCGTAAAAAAGCAGTCCCCCTTGGGTTAAAAGGTAAAGAACCAGAAGGCAGTAATTCATGGTAATTGGTAAAAATACAGGCAAAGTGACCAGATGAAAAATCTGCTTTTAAAAGCAGCCAAGTGGTTAGGGCCTGGAATATACTGAGAGTGCGGTAGAGTAGGTTTGAATTGTAACTTTCAAAAGGGAATTGGATAACTATCTGACTGAGGGAAAAAGGTGCACAAGTGAGCTACGGGGAGTTAGTCCTGCAGGGAACAGCATGGGCACAATGGACTGATGGACCTCCCCTCTCTGGTGTAACCACTCCCACTGGTCTTTGCTGAGTTGCAGCAAAGAATGTCACTGGAACAGAATGAAAACTCAGGTTAAGAATTGGAGGATTATTTGCATAACGTAGGTTTGCATTTTTGAGTATTGATGATGAAGTGCTGAACTAATCAAAGCATTAATAAATTAGACCAGAAGAAACTATTTCTTCCATTGGAGTTCCAAAACAAAAAAAAACAAAAAAATAGGGGCTGAACCTTCAGATACAAGGAAGGCAGATCAGGGGATGTCAGGAAGCATTTCCTCTCACAAAGGGGAATAGAAATCAGAATCACTCCCTAAAACAAACAGATGAAACTGAAGATCTAATTCTAATTAAACGGTGGAGGATAAGCAGTGATGAAAAACTGAAAAAGGCTCAGCTCCCAAGGTCCATTCAGCCAGAATGTGGGTAAATCAGGCAAAGCGATGGAGGACTGTAAATATCAATTGCTCCCATTTCAGTTTCTCTAGTAGTAGGAGTAGGTACAGGCAGCTCGAAGGCAGGCATGTCCTGCTGACGTTTTGGTTGCAGAGTTAGGAAACCACTGGCAGCTCCATCATATAAAAGGGGCTGGAGAAACATACAAGTCCCACTATCCAAGGTCTCCTTCCCTTATCTTCTCTAATCACCCAGCTTCCCGAAACAAAATATAAAATGTGGACACTCACCTGTTGCTCTTTATTATGGGAGAGCAACAGCTCAAGATCCTGCAGCTTCTCCACAATCACTTCCTGGTAAACCAGGTTCATCTGCAGGCAGGTCTCAGGGTCCTCGGGAAGCTCATCCCCTTCATCATCCACACCACTATCTGGGAGCTGAGGCACCGTGTCTCTGGCAAAAGCCTGCTCCTGAACACAGACCAGATGTTACTCCCTTCATCTTCCCTGTCTGATCTAAATGTTCTTGTAACAAAGGCTAGGAAAGCACCTATGGAAATTATTGATACAAATACTGTACAAGAGAGTAGAACACAGAAATACTGGTAACTTTATGACAGGGGTCAGTACTTAATGGAGAAGTCAGGGACAAAAAGAGTTTGTATTTATGAAGATTTCATGATTGTGAGTTATCTCAAAACACTTTTTCCAGTCAATGATGTTTTTGAAATTCACTGCAGTCAGTGTTGTAATGTCGGACAGAAGAGCAGGAGTGAAGCAGAAACATTTCAGATTGGAGGTTGGACCAGGAATGTTCCCAAGGGAGCCATACAGGGACCTCGGCTTTTTGTCATCTCAAATAATGACTGCAATGACTGAAAACACATCCCATATTTCTCCCAGGTCCAGCAGCATCACTTATCTCTGTTGCATGAGGTCAAATCATTCAGTACCCCCCAAAGATCACTTCACTCAGTCTGAGCATTCCAAAACAGACTTCTCCATTGAGGTAGACCTCAACAAATTCCCATTGTTGAATACACCACGGTTCTGGTGATTTAGATTGCCATAGATTCCTGTATCTAGCCTCTTCAAAATGATTCAGTTGGCTCTGGTGGAATGGTTTTCCCCACAGAAAGCTTTCCTTCTGCTATCTCCCATTTCTTATAGAACAATGGAGGTTTCTTCCTAGTAAGGTTCCAATTTGTCTCCCGTTTCTGTCTCAACAGCAGTGGGTCCTTGTTCCTCTGTGTTTCACAGAGTTGCCTCAGCTATGAAATTCACTGATTTTTCAACAGGTTTCATTTTAGATTTTAACACTGTTTTCTATTGTTAATGTTTTTAGTTGAGCAAAATCTGCTTTCACTACTTGAAGGGCTTCAGTGAGGTTATATCAATGTGCATAGTCAGCTCAAAGCATATAACTCCATTTTTATCTTTTACTTATTTGTTTTAATTTCAGATTTCCATCCACATTATAACAATCCCAGTACAGACTGATAACTTTCTAAAAAGACAGACAATGGATTTCCCAGGTACCAACTAAACAATGAAAGGACAAGATTCAATCTCAAGGCTTTTACTGCAACAATAAACTAAAACTATTGTAGATTAAACATTACACAACAGGCAGCTAATCGTAGATGAATCATAGAATCTCTCCAGTGTGGAAGATGACCATTCGGCCCACTGAGTCCACACTGACCCTCCCAAGAAAATCCCACCCTAACTCTGCATTTTGCACGGTTAATCCACCTAACCTGCACATCCCTGGACACTATGGGCAATTTAGCACAGCCAATCCACCTAACCTGCATATCTTTGGACTGTGGGAAGAAACCAGAGCATCCCCAGGAAACTCACGCAGACACAGGGAGAATGTGCAAACTCCACACAGACAATCGCCCAAGGCTGGAATCAAACACAGGTCCCTGGCGCTGTGAGGCAGCAGTGCTAACTACTGTGCCACCTTGCTACCCACGAAATACAACAAACATAGGGAACAAAATTTAGGTTTTGCGCTCTATCCATGACACAATCTCATCTAAAGGAGCTATCCTGAAACACTGCCTTACAAACGCCCACATCTATAACATTTGCAACTAGAATTTAACAGATGGTCCCAGAGTGCAGAAGCCTGGCAGTTGCTCCGAGCCAGCCAGACCCTGTAAAAGCTGGTGCAGGACACTGTAAAGAGGTACAGTTGAGAAGCTCAGCAATAAAAAGAATTCTTACCAAAGAAATACATTCGCCTTCATCATCTTGCTCATCGTCACTCTCTGGCAAGAAAAAAAGGGAGATTGTTATTCAGTAACAGCTGCAAGCCAGAATGGAAAGGAAGGCAGAATGAAACTAAATATATTACGAGGTAACTGCATGATCCTAAACACAATGAGCTCTTGTATTCAAGAAAATTCACCATCATACTATCAATACACTTAATGTCCAGGCGACAACTTCCAAGTTTGCAGATGACATTAAACTTGGAAGACTTGCAAACTTAGGAGGACAATGTAGAACTTCAAAAGGACATTTTCAAGTCGGAGAGTGGGCAGGTGAGGGGACCCTGGCATTAACAAGGCCTTCGACAAGGTTTTGCATGGTAGACTGGTTAGCAAGGTTAGATCACATGGGATCCACGAAAAGCTAGCCAATTGGATACAAAATTGGCTTGAAGGTAGGACACAGAGTTTGGTAGAGGGCTGTTGGTCAGACTGCAGGCCTGTGACCATCAGTTTGCAGCAAGGATTGGTGCTGGGTCCACGGTTGTTTGTCATTTATATAAATGATTTGATGAGAATATAGGAAGCATGGTTGATAGGTTTGTGGATGACACCAAAATTGGAGGTTCAGTGGACAATGAAGAAGATTATCTAAGGATACAACAGAATCTTGATCAACTGGGCCAGTGGGCTGAGCAATGGCAGATGGACCATAATTTAGGTAAACGTGAAGTGTTGCATTTTGGAAAGACAAACAAGGGCAGGACCTGTACAGTTAATGATAAGGCCCTGGGGAGTGTTGTCAAACAGAGACACCTAGGGGTGCAGGCACATAATTCCTTGGAAGTGGTGTCATAGGTAGACAGGGTGGTGAAGAAGTCATTTGGCACACTTGCCTTTATTGCTCAGAACATTGAGCACAGGATTTGGGATGTCATGCTACACTGTACAGGGCATCAGTAAGGCCACATTTGGTGCACTGCGTACAATTCTGGTCACCCTGCTATACGTAGGATGTTATTAAACTGAAAAGGTTGCAAAAAAGATTTACAAAGATGTTACCAAGACTGGAAGGTTCGAGTTATAGGGAAAGGCTGGATAGGCTGTGACTTTTTGCCCTGGGGTGTCAGAGATTGAGAGGCAGCCTTACAGAGGCTTATGAAATCAAGAGGGGCATAGATAAGATGAATAGCCAAGGTCTTTTCGCTAGGGTAGTAGAGTCTAAAACCAGAGATTTATGATGAGAAGAAAAAGATTTAAAAGGGATCCGAGGGGCAACGTTTTCCACTCGGAGTGGGGAGCATATATAGAACGAGCAGCCAGAGGAAGTGACAGAGGCAAGTACAATTACATCATTTCAGATATTTGGACAGGTACATGGATAAGAAAGGTACAGACAGATATGGGCCAAACGCAGGCAAATGGAACTAGTTCAGTTTAGGAAACTGGGTCAGCATGGACGAGTTGGGCTGAAGGGTCTGTTTCATAAGCGTGATGCACTTTGATCAGAAAACATTGAAAGATAATATAAGATAGGGAACATCATTCTAAAGGAAGGTGCAGGAGCAGAAGGTTGTGGGTGCATGTGTCATTGAAGGGGGCAGGGACAGTTGGAGAAAGCAGTAAATAAAGTGCACAGTGTTCTCAGCTTTCTTATTCAATACAAGGCACAAGATATAGGCGGTGATTTTGAATTTGTAAAAAAAAAACCATGTTAGATTTCAGCTGCAGTATTGTGTACAGTTGTGGGCACCATATTATGAATACATTAGACAGTCTGCAGAAACAATTTAAAAAAAAAATCCAGTTTTGAGAACACAGGAACAGGTGTAGGCCATTCAGCCCCTCAAGCCTGTTTTGCCATTCAATGAGATTGTGGCTGATCTTGGTGTAACTTCATATACCTGCTTTTCATCCATATCCCTTGTATTTGCTTAATAAATATTTAAGCTATCCTCAAATTTAAAAGTTACAACTGATCCATCATCCAACGTGGAACAGACAACCACCTTTTGTTTGTAGAAGTGCTTCCTAATGTCTCCCCCGTCCTCATCTTTAGACTATGTACCCTAGCTCTAGAATCTCCAAGCAGCGCAAATAGTTTATTTTCATCTACCCTGTCTTTTCCTGTTAATGTTTTAATCAGATCACCCCTTAACCTTTAAATTCTAGAGAAAACAGATCTAATTTGTATAATCATTCCTCATAACCTCAAGTCCAGTTATCATTCTTGTAAAACATAGCTATGAGGATTGATTGAGGAAATTTTTAGTTTGATTTATTGTCTGTCTGTACATGTGACAACAGTGAAAAGTGTGGTTTTGCGTGGTCTACAGGCAGATTGTACCATAGAAAGTGCACCAAGGTGACAGAACAGAGTGCAGAATAGAGCTACAGACGCAGGGAGAGAGGTCAACATTACCATTTGAGGGGAACATTCAAAAGTCTGATAACAGCAGGGAAGAAGCTGTTCTTGAATCTGTTCTTACATATATTCAAACTTTTATACCTTCTGCCCAATGGAAGAGACTATAACCGAGTGGCAGGCATTTTTGATTATGCTGATTACTTTCCTGAAGCAGCCGGAAGTATGGTGGAGCTAATGGATGGAAGGATGGTTTGCGTCACCGATAGGGCTGTGTTCATGACTCTTCTCTATTGAGTGAAAGCAGATGACAGGAGATCAGATTGAGGTTTACAAAATCATGAGGGAGCTGATTAACACAGACAGGGTGAAGCTGCTTCTGCTTGTAAAAGAAACAAGGAACAAGATGGCATAGATTTAAGGTGATACATAAACAAAGCAATGGCAATGGGAGAAAAAAAAAACTTTTTCACACTGAATAGCTAAGGTATGGATTGCACTGCCCAGAAAGGTGGAGGAACGTTCAACTGAGACATTCAAGAGGGTATTGGGTTGTTTTTGAATAGCAATGGTGTGAAGGGATATAGAGAAAAGGCAAGAGATTGGCACTCGATAGCAGAGCTAATACGGATATAATAGGTTAAACAGTCTCCTTCTGTACCATACAGATTCTGACAGTCATACAGCATTGAAACTGACCCTTCAGTCCAACCAGTCAATGCCGACCATAATCCCAAACTAAACTAGTCCCACTTGCCTGCACTTGGCCCATTTCCATCCAAATTTTTTTATTCCTTTGTCAAAATGTCTTTTAAACACTGTAACTGTATCTACATCCATGGTTTCCTCTGGAAGCTCATTCCACACATGAACCACCCTCTGCATAAAAAAGAATTGTCCCCATGTCTTTTTTCAAAATCTTTCTCCTTTCGTCTTAAAATAATGCCCCCAGTCTTGAAATTCCCCACCCTAGGGAAAAGGCACCTGCCATTCACCTTACCCGTATGATGGGTTTATAAACTTCTATAAAGTCACCCCTTAACCTCCTATGCTCCCAGTGAAAAAAGTCCCAGCCTCTCCTTATAACTCAAGCCTTGCATTCCCAGCAACATCTGGTAAATCTCTTCTGAACCCTCTCCAGCTTAATAATATCCTTCCTAAAAGAGGACCAGAACTGTACATAGTACTCCAGAAAAGGCCTCACCAACACTAGTACAATCTCAATATAACATGTTTAATGTGGCCACAAATCAGTAAAACACAGCATAAACCTGTCTCACTTTATATCTTACCGCACTTATCCCAGGTATTTTGGCTCAGAGAGAAGATTAAAAGTTCATCTCCTGGTCAGAGACAACCAAACGTTTGTCAATACCAGGTCAGTATATTCCAACTCATCACAGCCTTTAATCTTCAATCAAATTACATTTGCAACAATTCAAAATGATCAAAATTGGATCCCCTTTTTGGTCCAATACAACAGTAACAACTCCAAACACTGAGGACTGATGCAAGAGATAGTAGGAACTGCAGATGCTGGAGAATCCGAGACAACAAGGTGCAGAGCTGGATGAACACAGCAGGCCAAGCAGCATCATAGGAGCAGAGAGGCTGACGTTTCGGGCCTAGACCCTTCATCTGATGAAGGGTCTAGGCCCAAGGACTGATGCAATATGGGTTTAGACACAAGGTAAAGCTGGTTCTATACTAATTCCACAAACAGCTCAGCACAACCACCAGACCATCCTCCTCAACAAGCCACTTGACCATGACTGGGTTCCCCACTCTCTACTCTCCTAACTCAGACATACTCCTGGCCTCTAACTGACCCAAAAGGGCACCAACACCCTTCCCTGCAACACCCCCTGCCCCCCCCAAACCCCCCCACCTCCCCACCCCCCCCCCTCAAGTCCCCCTCTCCCCAACCCCCCCCACCTCCCCCCCAGCAGCAGTGTCCCTCTTCCCCACCCCCCCCCCAACCCCCCATCCCCCTCCCCAGGCCCACCCCCCCCACCCAGCAGCGGTAGTAGCAGTGTCCCGGTTCCTCCGCCAGGCCAGGCCAGGCCGCACTGACCGCTCCCAGTGCCGCCGCACAGCTCGCTCCCCGCCGCCACCCCCAGGCGCTGCTCCAGCTCCAAGATCTCACGGCGGATCCGCTCCCGCTCCGCCTGCAGCGGGTCGCTGGGACCGGCAGCATCAAGCCGCGAAGACCCTGAGGTGAAGAGCCCGAGGCCTGAGCCCGGGCCACGGCCGCTCAATGCAGAAGGTCCGTCCGCCATCTTGTGGTCTCCCGGGTAACGCGCGCTTCCAGTTCCGGGTTAAGCATTGACCCTCCCTTCTCTAGGAACAACTACCGGGGCATTATCAGCTCTTCCTGGCCCTGGGAGTGTAGAGGGAGCTTTACCCTGTATATAAACCCCGTGTTGTCCCTGGGAGAACCAGTGTAGAGGAAGCTTTACTCTGTATCTAACTCCGTACTGCCCCTGGCAGTGTTT